TCAGGTAGCTCGCCTATTTATAAAATCAAATTGTTTCCGACAAATTTTCTGATTTAACTAAATACGAGGCCTGATAAACAAAGTATAGCATATTTACAACTTCCTTATAGGCTAATACTCTTGCGCTATATAAAAGAAACATTTTATGTAAATAGACTTAACTCGATAAATTGAATACCAATAAACAAAGTTCCTTAAGAAGGACCAGTTTGAAATATTAGTAGTGATAATACTTTAGTAGCACGAATACGATTTAATATCATTTAATTCTTATTGAAGCCAACATTCAATAGGATTAAGTTATAGAAATATAGGCCGGAAAAGTTACAGGGACTCAATATTGCATAGAGATTCAAATTAAATGAAAAAGGCTGAGTCATAATATTCACCCGGTGACGAGTTAATCTTTCCGTTTGGCGCTTTTACCAGCAATATGGAGTCCTCTGTTTGAACCAAGGAAGAAGCAGCTCGCGAGTTCACTATTTGCTCGGTCAGCTGTCGTATGTTTGAGCTAACCAGACTACATACAATATTAATAACTGCTTGTTGTTCCAAGATTTGCGGTAAGGGTATACGGACATCCACTTGGCCACGTGGATCCACCTGATTGTGAGTAGCTTCAACTGCTATACTCAAAGTTTCTGCAGTTGTTAATGGCATAGCAGCTCGTAGGCCAGGTGAATATTGATTTTCAGGTCGAATACGGACAAAGCGAAGTAGACACTGATTGAAAAAACCACAGACGCCGGCTCTTAGTTCAGATACTGGCGAATGTAGACACCAATGAAGAAGATAATGAACCTGTATGAAGTGAGCAAGAAAAGAAGAATAAGATGTAGGAAAGGAGGAAACGTGAGAGAACAGTGTTATGTTTTACTCATATTATTAAATGCCAAAAAGGTATCACACAAAAAACAGGACAAATAAAATCATTTGATACTCTCAAAGTTCTTTTTACATAGTAACATACAATTAAATAAATGTTTTTATTTCAGTTGATTTGTAAATGAGGACCAATTAATTAATTTCTGTTCATTTTCTACTTTTATTATTACTGATATCTGCGAAAAGATTGATATTTACAAAACCGTGTGTATTAATTTACATTAAAAAACTATTATTATCATGATTGAGAAAAAAGTGCCATAGATTCATTTATTCATCTGATTTAACCGTAACTCAATTTAATAACTCCAAAAACATAAATGCATTAAGAGAGTTTAGTGGCTTTATTTGACAATAATCAATTTTTAAATAATCATAAAAGTTAGATATCTAAAGATTGACGTAATAAAGACATTGTTATATATCAGGAATAAGCAAAGAAAATGGAACATAGATATGAAGACCAATAGGGTGTGGCTTTCTGTGTCACATTTATCTTTATAGTGTTGGTTCGACCTTGTTTTCGCAACATAGTCGGAGCGTCAGGGAGACCTTGTGGAACGTTCCTAGTCCCGTGTTTTCTGCCATAGTATCAGTGATTTCCAGCATTGGACTATTGGCTTGTTACATTCTCAAACGTTTCGCCGGCATCGTCAGTGAGAGGCGTCATCGTAAGCACAGAGTTTCAACTTAACCAAGTAAAAATTGAAGGCAATCCCCTTGGACAATTTTCTGTTTAACCGTTGTGGCATCACTGCTCGCCCATAATTTTTGTTCTACCTTCTAGTATCACATCTCTTACCCTTAAACTCATTTATATGGCCTATCCATTTATTCACGCAATTCTGTACTCGTATTATTTCCAATGTTGTCTAGGAGTGTGTCGCTACAAGTGGATTTAGTGAAACGTAATCATCTCCATCACCAGTACCAGATGTCGTTTTCAGGGCTCCTGGCCTACATTCTTCCCCCCTTTTGTCATAGCCGCTTGTCAATTAGCCGCTGCTAAACAGCAAAACTACTTGAATATATGAAGACCAAGGTGTTGTGGCCTCTGGTATGGTTGCAATCTCCTTTAGATCCCCTGACAACAAGACCAAGTTGCGACAATGAGGTCAACCCACATCAAAATTACTGTTTAACTGTTTGGAATCTGGCTGCCTGAGAACCTTCCATTGCCGTCCTATTCAAGGCGTTAGAGTGGATGACACATGTCCATGCTCATGCGCATGTCAGCGCCTGGGACATTTCCTCTTCATAGACTTCAAACCTGTGACTCAATTATCCTCTCTCTCATCCTTAACCATTCATTCTTTGAGGTCCTGTGTCAGGCTAAAGTCATGACTGCTGGTATGAGAATGCAGAACCCTCTTTTTTTCCCCTTGAATCGCAAAAAACACACTCCTCTCGTCTTTCAAAATGACATTCTCATATTATACTAGGGTACTGGGATGATGTCCATGTGTCTATTTTGGTTGGTATCCCCTGTCGTAAAGCCTGTCATAAGCCACCTCTCCTTTCGATGCAGACACGAAAATTACACACGACGCTCATGCACACACATTCGTGACCTAGATCTAGCCCACCTATACCTTTAGCCTTTTATTTCATATTCTACATTTCGTAGGTAAATCCTTTGTGTAAATTTCTGGCCAATTCCATGTCTGACTCCTCTCACTGCAGTCGCCTTTTCTTGACTCCCCTTTGTCCTTCATGAGCTGCTCCTTGGTGATGTCTCTTCTTGTTGTTGAACAGTTGTCCTGGATCCAACCGTCTTCTTTTTTATGTATTTGTTGAATCTCCAAGTCTACTCAGTCAGTATGCGAAATTATCGCTGACTCTTCCCTCTTCCAATCTCATGTTCATCATGTTCCTTTTAACGAAGATGCTCACAGCTTCCCAGATCTTCTTTTCCATTCCTAATACAAAGCTACTAGTCAAGAAGACAAATAAAGCCAATCCCTTGGCCCACTGGAAAACAATTGATAGCCTGGCTACATACAATAAACATAAAAGGAAACACAAGATTAAAGAGGTCGTAGATATTTTTAATGTAAGGAATAGAACAAAACAGAAAAAGGGACGAAGGCTTAAATAGCGAAAACTGTGAATATTGTTTAAGCAAATTTGAAGGAACCCAGGAATCAAGCAGATCATCAAAATTAAGATAATTGGATAAATATCATATTTTGAAAAATAAAAAGAGGGATCACTAAGCAGAGGCTATTGAGAGAATATCAGAAAGCAAGAGAAAGCATACAAAGTAAATAATTGTAACTTTTAGTGGGCTAGCATATAAAGGAATGAGGATTAAAATGTCCAGAATTATCATAGCAATTTGGCCTTATTGATAGAAGTCAAAAGACACTTTGGTCAGAACTACAGTCAAGAGATGTAGTTGAGCCCAGATGGATGAGCTCCAATTTCACACACAGCACAAGACCTAAATTATGGAGCTGGTCCATCAAGTAAATGCCAGACATGCAGATTTATCAATTTATTAAAAATGGCAACCAGAACTAAGGGGATATATAGTGTTATGCTAGTTTATTAAGAGCCACAACAATCCAGGATTTTGGAGCTTGCTCGAAAAGGTCACAGTATGTGTAAAAGCTGACGTCTGAGACAGAAAATGGGAATTAATGCTTTACATATCACGGACATGGTGATAGCAGCCAAAGGAAATCAGTGAATTGAAGAGGTAGGAAAACATGATTTTCGAGGGGACTGTGACAGGAGTTAGATAAAATAGATAGTGGGCTGAAAGTGCCAAGTAGGATCAACAATTCTACAGAATTAAGGGGGGAAGCGGAAACCAAAGGATAGTGTGATTACACATCACTATACCCACAAAAATGGACACTTCTCAGAACAAATGAGTCAGAAATTTTGAAAGTGAATGAGTGAAATAGCAGGATATGAGCGAGATGGATGTTTCCGACTGAAAAGGACATTACAAAATAGTTCATCAGAAATCTACGCTAGGAATGCATCTCCCAGGTATCTTTGACGAGTTATAGCATGGCGATAAGAATGACATGGCTAACTGTCAATGCTAACTACGATGCAAGAAAAGGGTTTTGGAACGGAGGGAGTACCCGATCAGACCATAATACGTATCATATTTACTATGTATAAGTGTTTTAATCGAAGGCTTTCTGACAATATAATAAAGGTTCCAAAACATGCTCAAACCACTACAACCTGCGGTTCACTCAAATGAATGGGCTGAACCATAATTTTGTCTGATTTTCATTAGTTATTGTTTTGTCTATAACGAGGCTATGCGTTTCACTTTATTACAAAATTGTTGGGGTCAATTTGTTATACTTATTTAATCACTAATAGAGAATCACGTTAAACTAAATAAAACTTATCTCTATTATTAGTATGATTTCAAGTTATTCTAATAGAATCGATTAGTAACTCCTAAATTTTAACTAAACCTAAGATATGATTAGTGAAACTACTCATTGAACTATTTATCTACTAAACTTGAAAGAAATCTTGGATCATGCTATTACTTAATAACATTTTAGCCTATATTTTTAAGAATAATTTTAATCTCGTCCAAGAGCGTATGGACTAGTAAACGCTGAATTATTATTCCAAACCAATATAGGAAAAATTCAATATGAATGAATTTTTCTAGTGCAGTCTTAATATTTTTTCAGAAATCCTCCAAAGCAGGACAATATGCGTTTGTGAACTTAGCACAGTATATTACAGATTCTTTTATTCAAGGATTTTATAGAGAATGCTTTTACATGTAACCGAATCTCCTTGTCTTCAGTTAAAAGGCACAAAATGACATTTGCTTAAAAAAGCTTTTATAAAATCAAAGTCCTAAACCTATAGTTAAAAAGAATGATGGATTCTTTCACCATAATAAATATCTTACCGATTCTACCTCGTTACACAAATCAGGTTCTGTACCCAGAAGCACAGCGGACATTTGTAGGACCATGAGGTCATCTAGCAGACGTCTGGAGGGATCTAGTTACAAGTAAATGTAAATATAAATGGATGCTTAGATAAAATATGAATAAACATACTTCTTATAAGAAGACATACAATGACCAATGGAGAAAATTGCACATAATTATTTGAAATTTATGCATTAATATTTAATATAGCAAACTATGCCCAGTTTAGGGCTCTATATTTTATACTAGCAAAAAGGAATCGCTGTCTTTTCGATAGCAACAGTTATGTTGAAGAGTCTGATAATTTTTACACGAGACTGAAGGCAACTAGCCGTGTTTTGTGAAGAGTAAGAAAAAATGGACATTGCGTAAAAATTGCATAACTATGACAATAAAATGTGCATTACCGATAAGTTCAG